AGGTTGAGGTACTTCATATTCCAGGTCTTGATAGGCGATTGTTATCAGAGCTCTATCATCTTCAAACTTACCGACACTTATTCATACCTTCAATTCCATATAAATTTAATGTGAGAATCATACGCAGAACATACTGACTCTCTTGCTATCACTTCCTTTCGTTTTTATATATTGCGTAAACCTGACAAATTCACGAGTAAATATTACTGCATCAAGAATCTAGCCCCAGTCTTCGCATTTGAATGTGTCCGTGATGAGTAGTGGGATGCAAATGCCGAAGTGAATTAGTTAGCTGCTACGTAATCTACCCTTCCTACATGTCTGTAACTATCTTCCTGTGCGCCCTTCTTGTTCCCTGTTCCTCTGCAAAAGCCGCCCTCGAGCTTCTCCCTGCGAGGCCCGACAAGATGAATAGTCGCGAGAAGGAGTTTTGGATGAGATCCAAAACATCCAGCACTCATTCCATTATCACCCAATCATATCTTGCCATACGTGATTTGCCGATCCCAGTCATCATTCGTCGAGTCAGTTGGCTCGTCCAGCTCTCATTACGCGGCGCCACTTCAACACTCCCACTCGCCGCTAATGCGCAGCGGGCTAGGCGCGAACTTCGCTCGGCGAGCGAAGTACCTGAAGTCGCTTGGTTCCCAGCGGCTTCGTCGTCATGTCCGCCAACTGCTTCTCAATGCCGATATAGTTGACATTGTCACTCACGTGAATTGCTAGCAGCACTTGTGCCAAAAGAACAGGTTTATTTTGAAAGTTATCAAAAACCATAAGTTTCTAATAGTCAAAATAGCTTTAATCCAGTACATGTTCTCTGGAGCTAGCAGATCGAAGTGGTCACCTAGCGACGGTAATTCTCTCGAATTTTGCTACTTAAAGAAGCGTACAAATCCGATTCTGTGCGTTTGTTAACTTTGCAAGTCTCTGTATAAAAGTTTACAAAACGTTGTTGCAATTTTTTCTGTTTTTTTTAATTTTAACTAAGAAACTTTAAGCTTTTGAGTAATAACGAAGTCTATATGGGAAAATACAATAATTTCTCTGATTTTACCAATTATCAGGATAAATTAATCGTGTTATAGCACAGCACCAGTTTGTCGCTATAATAACAATCTGAAATACAATATTCTGGAAGATTTTGTAAATATTTTTAAAAATCAAAAGGTACCATTCGAGATGATACTTGCAACTTGCACGACATATTTGCTCATTCGAACAACTCATATAATTTTTTTTATTAATGCGATTATCATGTCTTACGAAAATCAATGGCGATAAGGCTAATGGAGCGTGGCAAATGCGCAAACATCTTGTCTTCTCACCAGGTGCACGTGATTTCTTCCGAACTTTCGATTGGATCGTTTATCGGGAAGGTTTCTTGTTCAAGTGATTTACGATGGCCATGGCCAGCTCAGAGTCTTCTTTCAGGTAAAGTTCCGAATTTTATTTGCCAAATTGACTTCTAGAGTAATACAAATTTTGGCCTAGTTATGTAAGAGGGTAAGGTCAAAAAGTTGATGACTCCTGCCAACTTTTTCCCACTTAACTCCAAACTTTTCCAGATCATGAAAAAAGTCCAATCGACTTTGATCATATACACTATCCACATTAGACAATAAATCGAGTTCATCTTACGCCTGAGGTTGTAAATCTAGCTGGTGCGACATTAACGTTTGATGAAGACGAAAGCGCCTTCACATCTCCATATTGAGGTGCGGTTTTGTTTTACGCTCGTCATCGACGCAAATTGTCTTCGATGCATTTTATTTTGTGTGGGATCACGAATGACCGAGTCTTAAAGCTTGGAGAAAGCTCGAAGGAAATACGAGTAAATCCACTGTTATCTGTGTGGGGGGTGTAAAGGGGTCAGTCCCAGATGTGAACCATGGTCTATTTCAGAAAGTACGTGTATACGGTCGGCCATTCCCGTTACATTTTGTATTGTCGCTCTGCTTGTTCAAAATCATTTTTTTGGCGTCATCTGTCAAACCAAAATCTTTCGAATTATGTACATTAGACCATTCGAAGTAATTTGTGGATGTATGGAACCTGACTTCTGTTCAGTAAGGAGATTTCGTCCTTTACCTAGCTATAGCTGATCAGCACCTTCTGAAGATTTCGCTTCGCTACTGACTGCTACCAAAGACTTAACGCTAGAGTCGAGACCAAGTCCTCTCTCTTCCTTTTGAGCATCATCCAGAGAGTTTGTCCGCAACGAGAAAGTCGTTGCTTGCTTGTCGTCGACAGCAGTCGTGGATACTACTGGACCATTTACTATAAGTGTAGCTGCAAGTAAGACCAGGATCGAAATGAACGCATCGTTGAATGACAACAAGAAGTAGTGTGATGTGTGACGCAAGACGGAAATTGAGTAATGAATCTTGGTTGAGCAGAACTCATCGTACGATCGACACACGAAAGCAATCCATTTGTCTCACTACATACCAATGGTCCGTATGGGAAAGGGAACTGGATCCAAGCGAGAAAAAGGATTGTACAGTTGCCATTACTGTAAAATCATGCAGAAGTTGTATTGCAGCGGCGTAATTACCGACTATTCGACAGAGCAGTGACATATAAGTAGCAACATCTTTTTGCTCTTAAGAATCAGGCAGCGTCGACAATCTTGCAAACAGTGCCAAGATCAAGAATCATTCCGTACTGAAGGGAATGTGGCATCTGCACAGACGCTTTTGCAACACTTGATCTACGTAAAATAGCCAGATCACCTGCAATCTGGGTACGGGAAGGTATTCTATGCTCCACGATTAGCGCACGATTGGAGAGCTTTGTTGCCCGCAATCAATGAAATAAGATTTAAATGGATTGATGATCGGACGCAATCAACACATTCGCTTTGTCGTTTATCGCAATTTTTGATTGTCTTCTTGTAATATACATTGCATTCCAGCGGTAAACAGACCCATCCACGTGATTTACCATCAACAATAAGGAGGTCGCATTGAACAAAAAGAAACTCTTCTTCACCTGGTTGAACGTATTTTATAGCGCCAATGCTCTTCGCGGCTGTTGTAATTTATCGACTGGAGTCTCGTATACCTGGCCACGGCTATAACATCGGGCGTCAAAATAATTGGCAAAAGATGACGTTCGTATTCTACACTTTATTTACTCAACATAGAGAACAAGAGTCAAAGCTTACAGGTAGTTATAAAGCTACAGAGCTCGAAAGCTATCTCGGGTGCCAATCTTTGAAAATTTTAAGGGTTCGAACTTAAAGGATGAGCATTTCATAATGCACTTGATTTTTTGTGTTTTTCTGATACAATTTGTAAGATTCGGTCAAGTGGCTGATCTTCGTTGATCTTCCGTGTTACAAAAGGTGACACTAACGCGATATATAAAGAACCTGGTCGCAACAATCGAGAAATCATTTCTTGAAGTAGCGACTGGCCGTTGGCAAAAAGGTCATTGTTGAAGCCAATGACGGTACCAAGCAAACGAAGCTCAAGGAGGGTGACAAGGTGGAGGTTTAGTACAAGGATAAGAGCAGATTTGATTGGGTGTGATCTCTCGGAGTCGGTTGAAAGGCACTTACGACATCGACTTTGACTATCGACTATCGACGATGGGCAGAATCATACGCTATCTCTGAATAGTTTATACCGTATTCCGACCTGATGGTTTTGCCTTCATACACTGGGTATTTTCAGATAATTTATGCTTATAGAAGAAAGTCAGAAGAACATGTGCGCGTGACATGTTCTGGGCAAATGCTTCGGCATACAATTTGCTTAGATTCGTGTATTATAACTAAGACTTTTCTTATCATTTAGAAAAAATAGACTGCTTTGAGTGAGCGATGAATTTCAGCAAGACACGTATAGAGCATAGCAAAACACAATAGAAGCATCATGGAGAAAAGTTACAAATGGTTTCATCGCTGCAGATTTTTTTTTAAATCTTGACGTGGCAAAAGTTGCTGGTCGCTCTTAAACCATTAAGCCTTCGAATTCCCCCAGCTTAGATATCTCACATCCGCTTTTTCTTGTCAGGTAAATAAAATAGTAATTTATCGATAATATGACAGCTGGCAAAGTAAAAGATAACTTTATTGTATTGATGTAATTAACAATATGTAGTATTGTCATACCGGTCATATATATGCTACTTCCATATGTTATGTACAGAAGTCCAAGCTTACTTTCACTATGCTGATACAAAGCCAAATTACCTCGTGCTGCCATATTTTAGCCTACCTTTTAAAAAAATATAATTTTGACGTATGTCAGGACCTCAGGATATTATACATTTAACATGGCCAAGTGCAGATCTCGACGAGATATGTCCGTCAGCTGCTCGCAACGGAGTACGTACCGTACGATGGTTTTTGTACACATTACCTTCCTATCATTATTGTTCGTCTGACAACAGTGAGAACCATGATTTGAAATACTGGCACAGATGGGGGTGAGGTGACCAATAATTATTAATCGTACGTATAATTACCGAAAGAATAACGAAACGCTAAAATAAACATTAGCTATGAGAGATAAAAAAATATTCATTAAGTTGTTGACTAAAACATCGTATTCCGGCTTCTCTTACGTTGACTAGACGATATATCAGACCTATCCATTCTATCCAGAAGACATTGAGGTTGATGTTTTTTGTCCTTGATGGATGAGAATGGACCGGAGCTTAAAAATTTACGATTTCATGTATTGGAAATCTTGCTATGTCTTCCCAAGATAAATAGGCTGCCTATGAACCGTCGGTCTGCTTGAGTCCTAAGTCCCCGTTGTTCGGCCCTCCAAAAATTACTTTATCTTATTCTTTTTCGATACGGGCGATATTTATGCGAAATAAAACAATTCTTTCAAGTTTTATCTTAATGATCTCAGCTCGACTTGAACTATGCATGTAAAAATTTTTTTTTCGTAGATCAGCTAAATAATTTAAATCACAGATTAGCTAAATGCCTAAAGCAAAATGTCAGTTCAAGCTTCAGAAAACTCGGCAACATTTATTTCGTTCAACTTGTGTAGAGTAGAAGGTAACTTGTGAAGTGAAAATATTTAGTTAGGTACTTATTTTGCTACTTTTTGCTACTTTTTGCTACTTTTTGCTACCTCTAAGCATATCTACAGCGGGGCTGCCGTAGCAAAGCGCTTGAGGAAGCGTACTTTATGTCAGCGGCCTTTCGCTCTTTCCGAGAACCAAGTATGAGTTAGCGGATCGCAATCCACTTACTCCAGCCTTCTCAAGGATAATCGACTATTCAGTTCAAATTCAAAAACTGTTTTTAATTTATTTTTATCCCGATTTGAAAGTTTAGACTTTCCTAATATACTAAATATATTAAGTAAAATCTAAATATGCATAACCACTGGCTACCTAGCCACATACCTTATTCTTGTCTGGGTGTAGTCACACCATGCACATCTCGTGTGACACACACCCCTGATATCAGGGTACGTGTAACGGGGTCACATGAGAGCGACCCGTCACTCTCCCAAGGGAGCTGTGGTGTGGC